GGGTGTGGCAATGAATGATAACACTGCTTAGATGAAAACTGTTCCCGGCAGCTCTTGGCCTCGGGTCAAAAGCCTGGTCCTAAATGATTTGAAAAAAGTAAATTGAACAGGAGCTTCTGTAATATCTATCCATTTTGAACACCTGGGTCTTAAGGCTATACATAACAGGCTTGGGACTCCAAGGATTGAAGGCCTGTAGCCAGCTTTTTTTAAAGGGGGAGAGGTATTTTGTGTGAAAAGAGTACTAGTAGAGATTTTGCCATAGTGGCCTACAAAATAGTTCAGATTTTGACTGAGGACATATCTTTCCCAACCCAGCCCCCACCCCACCCCCCAGGCCTCCTCCTCCTCTTCCTTCCCCACCCCCAGCCCCCCCAACCCAGACTACAGTCCTGTGCTAACTTTTTTATTAGGTTTATTATGACCTTTCTAAAATTGGGTCCAAAATACATCATAAACTTATCAAATGCATAAGGTAACTTAATTTAACATAAGCATACATTTCTAACAAGGTTAAAAACTGATACTATAGGACTACACCTAAAATTATTTTTTAAACACCCTTGAACAAAAACCCATGCACCCAAATACATGATTTTCATACCTGTTAACAACAAGGCAAAAGGACCACACAGCCGCATCATTTAAACAGACAACAGCGGATAACATCCTATCTCTGCTACCTACAGGTGCACTATGGTATTGATTAGTTCTAAATTCCTTATGTAATGATCATTTGGAGTGAGTGAAAATAAAACCACTTGTCTCCCATAATAATCACCCAACCCGGTGCATCTTGGGTATCTCTCTCTGGAATCTGGCTACAACAGGAATTGTGCCTAGGGTTGGTTGCCAATAAGAGCCTTTCCGTAAAAAAAAAAAAAAAAAAAAAAAAAAAAAAAAAAACCTGGCACTAAACAGCAGATTTTGTTTTCAATAAATTTCTTGTTTTATAACAGCACACACTGCTTTGCCCTTCCCTGAGAAATTTATTTACCAGCTGTTAAACTTCTAAAATTACATTTAAACATGTGAACATACTCAGATTAGAAATCCCTATAAAACAGTCTAGGTGCTGCCAAAATTAATGTTTGTATTTAGTACTACCACAATGAAAACATTCTGCAAACATGAATTTTTTTACCTCAATTGCCCTTTCATCTTTATGATTTTTCATCTCACTCCTGTCAAGCTTTATATGTCCTTTCTCATCTCGGCATAATCAAGCAATCATATTTTTTTACACAATGTTTATCACACCTATTTCTTCTTTGCTGTATCTTTCTGTCACCCTTTTGTCTCTACCCCCCCCCCCCAACCTCCCTGCCTCCCCCCCCCCCTCCTCTACCACCACCACACAAAACCCTCCTTTTCTTATCACAGTAATGTACTGGGAGACACAGATAACAGTAATGTACTAGTAACATCTCAGTCACTTAGATCCACTTCACTTTAATCAGCCTCTTATATAACATACTGCTCACCAGGGGCTTTCCCAATAGGTATCTCTGTCTTATAACAGCGCCAATTCCACTAATCTGTTATCCTGGCACAGTAGTGGGTCCCATCCACATACAATATTGATCTAAATTCTGTCCGTTCACGGTTAATTCTGCTAATAAGTTTGACAATAGTTAAAGCAGGATACGGTGCTATCACCCATAAATGATGCACATTTGGGAAAATGATGCACATTTGGGAAGAGAAAGATTCGAGGTTTTATGATTTTTCTCTCTCTGCCTGCTGCGACTGCCATAAATAGCGTCTCAAAAAAGTTAGGTCCAAGAACTTTTTCCAATCTATAAATTTATGCATATTGAAGAGAAAACAGTATCAAGTCACAGAGTAGATTACAATAACAAGGCAGGACACATATAATAGTATATTTTATAAAAATTTATAAATTCTGTGTAAATCATAGAAATACTAGTCTACTGTGCCCAAAGACTATCATGGAATATAATAACAATTTCAATCTAATTTCTGAACATTCAGTATTAGTAGATTCACCAGCTACAATAAGCGTCTTTGCATAGACACGTAATACTACACTATCGCCAGCATATTAGCCTAATATACAACATCCATCAACATATGCAAACTGTGCAACAGATAACTACACCTGTATCTACCTTCTTGCAACTTTTTTCTGCACCACTGCTGTTGAAGATGAAATCCAAATGGAATGGAAGTTTTCAGATACTATAATAATATCCCTTCCCTCAGACCTTCCTTTCTCTCTATACACTTTCTCCTCACTGTTGCAATTTGAGACGCAGATTTTTTGACGTCAGATACCCCGCTGAATCTAGAGCTCCCCGCAGTGGTTCACACTATAAAAAGGTCACCCGTTATACCCTTGCTGTAATTCTGCTGGCAGCTGAAAGATTGTAAATTGATTTCTTATCTAGGAAGTTTTGATATATAATATTAAAACATGCAGACAAAATGTCCTTCTTTCATCTGAGTGAAATGTTGATCTAGCCTCCGTTTTGATCCAACATTCATCACAACTTAAAGGGAAGTTTATATTTTGATGGTGTTATTTATACTCAAACAAAGCCTTTCAAGTCTAAATTCAACAGAAGAAAAACAAAATGAATAGTTTTTTTCTGTTAAACAAACTATTCTATCACATGATCTTATAGGTGGAATGGGTGGAAATAATAGATCTAAAAAATTCAATGTTTGAATTAATCTTTCTAAAACTCTAGTTCTAACTCCAGCCTTTTTTTCCTTTTTAGAAACTTAATCAGCAAACATTCACACAAACATCTTTCTGTATCATAAAAAAATTGGACATACAAAAATTGGATCAACCTTAACACCCTCACCAAATCAAAATAAAATGTGTTATTTCTTAACAATCACAACATCACTTTCAAAGTATGTATTCAAATACCTCGGCAGATCAGGAAGGAAATGTCAGCTAATAAAAGCATATTAACTGATTCAGTTCTATCTCCTTTGGTTTATGATGCGAGACAAGCTGTTCTTAAATACCACAAATGCAGAAAATACCATCAAAGGTGTTTCCTCCAAATTGAAACAAATCTAATTCTGATGAGCCTAATTTATATCCACAATAAAAAAGAAAAAAACTCAGATGCACCGCCATTTAAATGCCAAAATGCCAAGAAATAAAGGCCTTCAAACATATAGAAAACTTCTTTTTCATTAATTAATTTATATAACTAACTCAATTAACAGGGGGATAAAATCAAAAAGTTCTTCCATAGGACAAAATGCTGCTGAAAAGAATTCTTAATATTTACATGATAATGTCAACACATGAATTCTCAAAAGAATTGAAAGGTATAATCTAAAAACTTGTGCTTATGCCAAAATCATACTTGGCTTCCCAAATAAGAATTATTCATAATAAATCAGCAAATAACTGCAAATGAAGCAAGAAGATAATGCTTGGAATCTGAAGCCTCCAGGAATTCAGCACTCACTAACCAGAGTCTATCTCACCTGTTCTTCACCAAAAAATAGTACCAGAACATTAATCATCTTGCGAACCAAGGATTCATTAACAGACTGGAGCTTATTTCTACATAAATGTAATCAAATGCCGTCATTTTCTGTAAAATCATTCATGGTTCTGAGAAGGATTTGCGTTTAATAATGTTTTAGTTACAGTCATCACTTATTTTTGAACAAAAATTCATGAAGCAGCTTCGTTCATCTTGCCATGGTGACAACAGCCAATTGCAGTGGTTTCATGAATTTTTGTTCCAAATTAAGTAATTGTTATCACTAAAACATTAGTAAATGCAGTCAAATTTCTTACCTTTTCTATGGATTTTTTCATCCAAATGACAAGTTCTATGCTGAATAAACTGAACACAACAGAAACAGCTCTATGGCACTGACACAGACAACCAGTATAGTTACATACACAATCTATTTTTTTTTTCACTGTAGAAAGTATACCTGTATGTTTGCATACAAACAACATTTCGGGTGATTACTCTTCATCATATAAAAACATCACTCTGACTTATACAGTATATATCTATGTTACTTTACCACTTAATGATGAGTGCATGATTTTACAGCTATCCATCATCGCAATCACAAATACCTAGGATAAAAACTGCCATGATTCTTGGCTGCTATGACGTAAGCAAACAACGGTATTACCTCATTATTTTCAGATTTACTAGTTATCCATTTTTTCCTTCGTATTATACAGCCTTCATAAATGATAATTGCCATTTGCTAACATGAGGTGCAAATAAGCAAACACCTAATGCGTTTATAGGTCCTGTTATAAAGTACTGTGGGCCTATCCATGTCCAACTCTACAGAAAATAAACTCATGTTCTACACCTTAATAAAGGGAATGGAAGAATGTCATTATCTCCCTATGGGATTTACCTGAGGCTAGCTAATTAAGGATGATGCAATTTTATATCATCCACTTAGAACCCAAGACAATACATAACAGGAATCTCTTCAAGATCCCTTCCTAGTATTCTACCTTTCCTTAGAAATGTGCCTCTCAGTCAGGAGGCATCCTTGTATTCTGAGGGTCCACAATTCCAAAGACTAAAGGAGCCTTGATCAGAAATCAACTGCTATGCCAAGGGTATGGTATTCCCTGGGGTAAAGAGGGTATGGTATTCCCTGGGGTAAAGAGGGTACGGTATTCCCTGGGGTAAAGAGGGTATGGTACTCCCTGGGGTAAAGAGGGTATGGTATTCCCTGGGGTAAAGAGGATATGGTATTCCCTGGGGTAAAGGGTTCATACTTCTGAATGTCCGCTTTTCCAAGGGTCATATATGGCAAAAAAGTTTACTGATGCAATAGCTGCACTTAAACAAATTGCATAAGTTGCATAATCAGGGCATTGATTTTTTTTCCTTCTTCCTCCTGTTCTAAGTGACGTAGGGGTTCCTTTAAATCTCCTGCATCCATTAATACCAACACTAAGGGTGCCTTCACAATGAATCTATGGTACTAGCTGGTGCATTAATACCAACACTAAAATCCTCAGTGGTATGGCATCGAAGATGCGGTTGATGCTGTCCTCTGCGTTTTCCGGAAGACAGTCCAATTTTCCAGTTTGCATTGATGGGTATCTAATTTTTTCTGTCAAAAATGGAGGATGAATCAATAAAGATAATTCGGAAGACTGTCAGAAAATATCTCTAAATCCAGGCCTGAGAGGTCTCTGGGTCCCTGAGTAGTCCATAGCTGGCTTATTTCACATTTAGACATCTAACCATGACGACCAATTTGACCTGGTCAGCTAAAGTGGACGTCACACCATCACTGAATATTACACAATAGGTGTATTATTTAGAACCTTCAGCTCTGTACTGTTATAAATATTGAAAGTATTGAACTGCACTTGCTACAGTTCTCCTGAACAATTGAACTGAACTAATACACAGTGCTCACATGGAAAAGACTATTTATTGAGAGGAACTACATGTAAATTTCTTACATCTCATAACACTTGTATAAGAAAGGACAATTACAGAATCTTGGTAGATGAGTATGAAAACGATGAACTTTCTCATTTATTAAGTGAACTGCAGATATTCTGTAAGTACATTAAATTGTATAATGAGTTAACACCATTGTGATATATACCCCAAGACTTAAATGAGAGGCAAGAAAGAGAGGGTGAAGTCTTAAGGCAAAGGGTACAGACCCTAAAAAAAAACAAACAATGTCTAGACTTGGGAGTATATGGAGTAGTTTGTGCAATCAAACGAAACATGCAAGCCCATAGCTGGGGGGGGGGGGGTTCAAACAAACTGATGGTAAAAATTCCGATCTGGGTAAAAAATTGATCTAGGTACACAAGAGTTTCATGGGAAAAGGTCCACTTTTTCAGAAAAAGAACCCCCCCCCTCATACACCCCATTTCCATAGATTTTTAGATCGATCTATCCCTGTAGGGTGTCTCACTAGATTACTGTCAGCTTGGCCGTCTTAAGCGTCTGTCCCGCCTACTAAAAGCTGTAAGAGGGTAATGAACTATGGTGCCCGCTCGGCTGACTGCAATTTAGCGTGAACCCCCAGGGAGTTAGGTCGATCTAAATCTTAATCTTTAGATCGATCTAAATCTCTGGGAAAGCACCCATAGACAACAAATAATAATGCATTCCTCAACTCTTCATCATTATTCAATTTCTTGCCTATTTTTCTGATCACTTCAAATAATTTGCAGAGAAATCATGTCAGAATTGTCACTAATTAATGAGCAGTGGTTCTGCCCAGCTTGAAAAAATGCAACACTTCATCTACCCCTGTAAAACAAATCATAAAAAGCACCCAGGACCTGTATTCTGACTTGATCCCTATATCATATATAGTATATATCCAATCCTGCCATATGCTACTGAAGAGATGGCATTGAGGAGGCATGCCAATGCATTCCCCAAATCTCACCTTTCTGATTTATTTTGCACCTGTCGTTGTACTCAGTCAGGCTGGTCTTAGAGGTGTTCTCACACTTTACACACATATTTGTTATCATAGACAACACAGACTCTTAGTGACATGTACAGAAGTAATGACAGCTAGTTTTAGTAGTTTAATGTGCAAGACTCAGAGTGATGCCTTAGTTAGAACATATTGTATATTATCTCCTTTTTCGTGTCATTTATTTTTTCTCTCTCCATCCTCTCCCTTGCTTTAACTCCCATCCCTCTCTCTCTCTCTCTCTCTCTGTCAACCTGCCCCTCCTCTCTCTCTGTCACCCTACCCTTCCTCTCTCTCTCTGTCACCCTACCCCTCCTCTCTCTCTCTCTCTCTCTCTCTCTCTCTCTCTAATTCACCCTAAAATACAATACAGCATGCACTAGACCATAAAGACGGCGGTCTATAAATAGCCACAACTGAAATAACTGAGGCTGTGCTGTCTGATCTGTAAGTATTTACCATGGCCCATAGGAGCCTACGCGTGCGTCTTTTAGACACCCCTTTACATACGAAAACGACAAGGCTTATGCCGAGTTCGTCTTTTACTACAGAGCTTTGAGAGCCGAAAATGACATGGCTGTGTCTCTTTCGCCACTTACTGAACTCCACAGATGCGAGATTGACACAACCCATGTCGCGTTCGTCTCTCAAATGACACTGTTATAAAATATGAAATAGGCATAACGTGTGATTTTCGCAGCTGAATAAGTAGACCCTTATAAACGAAGTTGACGTAACTTGAGAGTCATGTCGCTTTCAACTCTTACAAACCTCCAACAAAATCTATCTCCACACAGACGCGCGCGACATGTACTATTGGACATGGGTCAGTTGAAACCCTATTAGCCTAAAGGGCTCATGTTACTTTCAGCCAACTCTTATATGTCAAATCCAATTAATTTGAAACAGTGTTGTGCTGTCCCATAGGCCTTGTCG